TCCAAAGTGGCTGAGAAATCTGGCATTGGCCACAATTTCCCCCACCAAAAAAAAAAACCCCCCAAAAAAGTGGTAGGAAGGTAGACCAAAAGAAAGCGCCCTTTGCCAATCAGTGGCGAGGGGCAGGGAAAAAGAAGTGGTAGTGACACAGACTAAGTGAAGGTTCCCTCTGCCAATCAGCAGCAAGGGGTGGGACCACCGCAAAATGCCCATGAAATCAGCCCTATGCACCACAAGTGGGCCATGAAAAACCCATTTTCTTGCAGGAACTTAGGTAGGTCCCTAGTCATAGTCTATACTCAAGGATCACAAATTAAGGTATTATTTGTACCCAAGTTACCAATGCCTAAATCCACAAAGGGAATTATTCACTGCATGGCTCAGTGAGCCTAACTTTTAGACTTGCCAGCATCTAATACCACAACTCAAGTTAGATGACCAAGCCTTCCCATGCACAACATCGAGAAAGCTAAAAGTTTAATGGAGTCCCATAGGGCAGGGGTTTTCAACCTTTTCCAACCAGTGTACCCCCCAGTGGCCAGATGTGGGGGGTGGGGCACGTGGCCGGATGCTGACCGAGTGGGGTAGGGGGTTGGTGCATGGCCAGATGCGGAGCAGCAGCAGTCACCACGTGTGGGCTTCCCTTGCCCCTCACGTCTGGCCAGGCAGGCAGGTTCTGCGCAGCAGCACAAGATGTGCTCTGTCCCCACCCACTCGCGTGTACCCCATAGGGCCTTCTCAAGTACCCTTGGTGGTACGCATACCCTCGGCTGACAACCCCTGCCACAGGGAGTAGAGAACAGTCTACAAGTTGTTACAGAAAAGCCAAACTTTTATTTTCCTATTGTATACTGCTTCATTTTTCTGTTCTTGTATCATCATATACTATGTTCTGTTTAAAAAGAGTACATGAAATTTATTGTAGGGTTTTAGCAAAAGACCATACTTCATATAATTTTAGTATTACATATAATTTTATTGCCCATTTTATTGTGCTGTTTTAGTAAAAGCTGTAAATCAAATACTACTAAAATAAAGTGAATAAATTACTATTAAAATAAAACACAGTAAGGCACAGAGGCACGTAGGTCCTGGGCAGATGTAACGTCTGAAGCTCAAATGGCAAGCAGACAGACACAAATGTCCTAGGAAGTGCTCCAAAAATCAGCCAAAGTGCTCTAAAAATATGGCTAGATGAAATATCCATTATTTTGAAGTGCTTCCCATTTTGGCTGTGTACTCATAGTTTCTAGGGTCGGAAGGGACCTGAGTAGATCTCCAGCATCCCACCATGCACTCCCTCTAACCTTGCCTACAGGAAGAGAGGAAGAACAAGGCAGATAGCCAAGAAGCACTGTACTGTACACTTGGTCATCTCTGGGGCTAGACAGCAGGAATCCCTACATACCTCTGTTTCCAATCTCCTGGTTCTGGAGTGCAGGTACAAGGCCTCTTTTTTCCTAGTTTCAGCAGGAGAATGCTCAGCTATCCAGAGCCCCAAGTCAAGCAAGGAGTCATCTTCTCCCTCCCCAAGGCTAGAGAGAACAATTCTTTGCATGTGCTGGAACAGGAGATCAGAGCCTGAGTGCACAGGAGAGGACTCACTGACCATCAGACCAGCTCTTCATGGGGCTGGGGGAGTGGAATAGAGCTGCAAGGCCAAGCAAATACAGCAGGAGAACACACTACTGCAGACCTTCATACAAAGGCTGAAGTGGTCTAGTGAAGAGGCACGAAGTGGGCAACATGTTTGTCCATGGCCTTAAACACTTGGAATTTGAAGGACTCTGAACTAGAAGAGAATTAGAAGTGCTTCAAAGTACATTTGTCCAAGGCCCGAAACCAGTGGTGCTTAATGCCAAGCCCATGGGCCAAATCCAGCCAATGAACCTATAGCATCCTGCCCATGGGGCTCCCCACAGGTCAGAAAAATTGGCACCAGGGGAACAGTGGCATTTAATACTACCGCCCCTCCCCTGTTGCCAAATTCCCAAGCCCCATGCAGCTGGGTTAGGGCTGAGCCATGCCCCCTCTCCCCTGTGGGGTTAAATCTGGGCCAGGCTAGACTTTGCCCCCTCCAGACTTAGCCCCACTGTGCTTGACCCATGCTCAAACTGACCCACAGATGGACCAGGCACTGCCAAGCTGGCTCATGGGGCAAGAAGGCTGAATGCCACTGCCCTAAACTAATCAAAGACAATGTAGAGATGACAAGTGAGGCCCAACTCCAGGAGAGTGACAGTGTTTCCACTAACCTATCCCCTTTAACTAATATCCCAGTTTTACAGCAAACACCTGGGATATAGGAGAGACAGGTTTTAATACCTACTATGATTGATTTAGACTAGAGCATCAGTTTGAAGCCTGGCATCTTTCCTCGTGTGTGAGTTCTCTCAATACAGGCCTACAGCGTATTTTGAAGTGGGCCTCTCCTGCTAAAGTTGTTCAACACTGTTCAAAATACTTAAATATTCACCAGGCCAAAGAAAGAGAATGACTTTATAACCTAGTAGTTACAGCAGTCACCTCAGACACATGGGTCCTTGCTTTAATGACTATTTAATGCTCCATATAATGTTGACCAGTTCCAGCAGGGAAAACTGAGAAAAGCCAAGCCCAGAATACACTACAGCCTGCTGCTAGGTAGAACACCTGGGTTTAAATACCTGCTCCAACTGAGAAGAGGGATTTAAACCTAGTTCTCATGTATTTCCTAATGATCCCTGTTTTTCTCTAGACACAAGGACATTGAGTATGTGGGTGCAGCGGAGCCACTACTATTTATTTATTCTCTGCAGGTTCAGTGTGCCCTGAGAACACCACATAATTGAACCCAATTAATGAGAAGGCCACTTACTTTGTGAATCCCACTATGTTGTAGGCATGAGCTAGGAAACCAAGTAGCTTGGTAGCATCAGGGCCAACAACAGACATTCTGGTACCTCCAAGGTTAAGTAGCAGCTAAACAGCTGTTTTGAAGAAATCTGTGACACCTAAATTTTAGATCTCATAGAGAATCATAGAGAAGTAGGGCTGAAAGGGACCTCCAGAGATTATCTAGTCCAGGCAAAATCATCTCTATCCAAACCATCCTATACAATCCATAATTTAAACTCCACATAAAACTACCCTTAGCCTTGATAACACAGACCTAACACCCTAACCTGTGACAGGCAAAGCAGGAGAACCATGGCAGCCAATGGCCATTTTCAGTTGAACATTATTAGTATATACTCAAGAGGTCCAAGGAAGAGGGCTACACCCCCTGCTACAGAGGAAGACAAAACCCTCCCCAGTCTCTATCAGGGTAAAACTCTGTACTGACCCCAAATTTAGCAATCAGTCTGTCCCTGATCAGAGTGGCAAGACCCTCTAAGCTAGGAACTTCTGGCTTTGGTTCCAGCAGAAACCTTGGCACATCCCAACTGAAGTCCCAAGCCTTGGCTGTAGCCAACATCCAAGGCCTTTGAAGGAGGCTTAAAAACACCCTAACACATATAACAGCAAGAGGCGGCAGGGGCAACCAGCAAAGCCCAGAAGCATGGGAAATGCCCATAGTAGAACACAGGCATAACTACACCTAGGTCATGACTGACCAGTGGCTGTCCAACCTCTCCTTGACTACCTCCAGTGATGGAGAGTCCACAACTTCCTTAAACTGTCCATTCCACTGCCTCACTATTCTAACAGAGAAGAAGTCTTTTTTCCAGATACCCAATCTAAACTTACTTTACTGAAACTTTAAGCCACTGGTCTGTGTTCTCCTCTCTACAACAAGAGATAAAAAGGTTCTCTCCTTCTTCTTTATGGCAGACCTTAAAGTATTTGAACCCTGCCATCATATCCCCCCTTAAGCACCTTTTCCACAAGCTGAACACACCTAGCTCCTTCAGCCTCCCCTCATACGACTTGCTTTCCGATCCCTTTATTGTCTTAGCTAACCCTCTCTAACTTCTCCAGAACCTTCTTAAAATGCGGAGCCCAAAACTGCACAAAATACTCCAGATGAGGCCTAACCAGTGCCAAGCTGAGAAGCACTATCACCTCCCATGCTTTGCACCTAATGCTTCTATTGATGCAGCCACACAAGGCCAATGCAGTTTTTGGATGCATCATACTGCAGATTCGTATTGAGTCTGTGGTCTACCAAAACTCCCAAGCCCTTTTTTGTAGAGTTGCCATCCAGCCAGGTGTTACCCACTATATATCTGTACTTTTGACGATTCTTCCCAAGGTATTGCATACATCCAGACTGAACTTTATCCTGTTACCTTCAGCCCAGCTTTCCAGTCTGTCAATACCCTTCTGAACTGCACTTGCATCCTCCAATGTATTCACAGTCCTTTCCAGTTTCATGACGTCTGCAAACTTGCTCAAGATGCTTTCTATGTCACTACCCAAAAAATGAATAAATGCACTGAACAGCACTAGACCCAGGACATACCCCTGTGGGACCCCACTCAAAACCTCCTACTATTCTGACATGGACCCAGTAATAATTACCCTTTGCTTATGACTATTAAGCCAGTTAGCTATCCAACTTATGGTAGTTTTATTTAGCCCACATTTATCCAATTTATTTATGACACAGTCATGTGGGGTGAACTCCACATACACTATACCCACAGCATTCCCTTTCCACCCAAGTAGTTACATTGTCAAAGATCACGTTCGACATGATTTGTTTTCCATAAAGTCATGCTGGCTGCTTGTGATCAATCTTTCCTCCTCCAGATGCTTGCAGATGGCCTTCTTTAGGATATGCTCCAGTAACTTCCAAGATATTGAGATATGGAAAGTACTGGCAATTAAGTATTTTAAGTCCTTTGAGGATTTAATCCTTTAGGTCAGATTCTCAACTCAAAAAATACCCATTGATTTAGGAACATCAGTTTGAACCAATATAATTATAAAAGATTTTTTAAATATGCAAATTCATTTTTTATTTTGCTTTTCTTCCTTTTTTCTTTTCTATCGTATACATAGATGATATACAATACCTCTTTATAAGAAGACATGATCCTTTCAATAGCATCTGCTCCCGAAACCAACAGATTTCGTGAAGTAGTAAAAGTTTCTGTTCGCTCACTAACCATTGCTTGTTTCTGGCCATCTTCTGACTCTAAAAGCAGAAAAAAATTCTTTTGATCAAAAATTCTTCTGAAAACATCTCCACAAATTAAATTTTGGATAAAATATAAACCAGTATATAAAAGATAGTGAGTTAAATTGAGAACTTCTAAATTCTCTGACCACAGCCTTCTACAAAGAAAAAAAAGTCAGGCATACAATTAACAAAAACATCTAACAACAAAAAACAAGAGGAAGCATTAGGAATTACTTTTCCTATATAAAACATCCTGTCCTTGAACACTGATTGTGAATCTATAGACTCTTTTAATATACCATTATTCAGTCCATCTTTCATAACTGGAAAAAAGCATAAATCTAAGCCATGATCTGAAACTAATGTTTTTGAAACATACAACTTCTATTTTTACTCATTTTCAATCCTATTTAATTCCTCACTCCACTCACATAGATGTAAATTGGTAAAATGAGACCATTTTATAAGAAAGCAATTAGCAATTTTATTTTGTCAGTAAGCATCTGTATTCCTCTTTCGGTTATTGTAAGGATGTGTGTTTGAATAATAGTTTTGTCTTCCACAACCCACTTTCACTGTCTGTTTGCTCCCATAATGAAGTCATAATCCTTTCTTTATATGCTGTGACTTCTTAGAGTAAAAATTATTCTGAATAAAACAGGAGCAGAAGGTGTTTTTAGAAATACCTTTTCCAACTGGTAAAGGGAAAATGGCAGCAAAAATTATAGAAGACATATAAATAAAATTATAGAAGAAATATAAATGTTTAAGTAAGTATTCCATATATGAAATGTTTAGGGTGAAATTAATTATTTAAACCTTTCATGCCTAGAGTCCAAGTCTGTTACTATGATATCCCATGCTGTCATCCAATACATGGAAACTGTTCTGCAACATCGATTGAATACACAGAGTTTGCTTTTCCAATAAATCATCAAAATAAATGTTGTGTCTACATTTTAAAGACTGAATATTGTATGAACCTAACATTTGCAGCTATGCAAACTAAAACAATGCTGGTTAAACAAAACACAGAGCTTCAGGAAGCTGTTTGGAGAGAAGCATTTCAGAAGGATTTTCTTTTGACCCTATATACAATATACAGATTGAAGTTTATTTTGGTGAGAGAGACAAAAAGCTCATCTAATACATTTTGTTATTAATCTAATCTATTGTGCTTTTTCAACGCTTTCAGTCAGGAAAACCCATAAAGAATTCTCCACAGATGCACCGTAAATACTATTTTTCTGCACTGGTCTATGTCAGACACTGTACCAGTAATGGAAGCAAATTTTTCTTTTCGATATCAAGTGTCTGTTTCACTATGCTGACAAGGTCAGAGTCTAGAGCATCTGAAAACTGAAATACAACAAACAGCAAGCTGCAGTTTACTTGTCCATCGCTACTTTCTTTTTTAGAGATAGCAGTATCTAATTTGCAGTTTATTTCTCAGAATGCCAAACAAATGGGGCAAATAACATCACTTAAATCAATGAAGTTACATAGGCGATACCTTTGGTTCTATGAATTTGAACTTATTACATAAGCAATTAGTATCTTACATGTAAGGCGCTGTTTGGTCTCAATTAATGTCTCTCAAATGCAACGGTTGAATTATTTAGGAAGAATGTGATCATTAACAAGTACAATTTTTCCGTGTATTTCATGTACTTATGAAAAATGAGACTTTCTACCTTAAATTACAAGAAGTCAGTTCTCTGTCCACCAGCACTATAAAATATACCTGGCTGGGATGCAATGAGAGGTGTGCCCTTTTTCAGATTTGCAAGAGCCCCCTTGGAAAGAATAGTGCCATCCTAAATCTCCTTCTTCTTTTAAGTCTTTATTCACTGAAGTAGTCACATTGGGTGCCTGTAGACATGTTACGGGGCTGCTCTGACACACTGTAATTACAGAATTAACCAAGTCTGCTGCAGCATGGTAATTACTGTGCTCCAGCCAGCCTCAGAGTCTCATATATTAGTGTCTCCACGCTTTAAAATGGTGACAGGGTGCTTCAACTAAAGCTTGTTTGAAGAGCTCTAGTTCAAGTGCCCTGCTGCCATTTTGAAGGGCATGTACAATACTACACGAGACCCTGCAGTGCTTTAATTAGAACAGTTCTCAGAGCTCCTCTAATTAACCTCCCCCCCATGTGTAAAAAGTCTCTATTTACTCCAATAGGAGAACAAATGTGAATAAAGCTCCTCAAGGAATCCAGCTCTCCCAGAAGAGGGACCATTCATTAGTAGAACTGAGCAAAACACTGGGCCCTGCTACATGTTCAAATTAAAGCTGGACAGAAACAAGCTATAAAGCTGTTACACATTTTCAAACACTAACTTTGTAGCTGGTAGATTCTTTTTATAACTGGATGACATTTTTATGGTGAGATAACTACCTGGCACATGTGACCAGTCTAAATTTATTGCACAGTTAACCAGATAATTCCATGATAACAACTTTCCATTTGTGGCCAGTCTACATTTATTAAATGATTAGCCAGATAATTGCATAACATACATAACATGTGGCAGAGGCCAAAAAGGCCTCTGCCACATCTTGCATGTACTTGAGGAATTAAATTTGGGTAGAACTGAAGAATTTTAAGACATTATAAAATATGGTTTTCCTGTATTACACAACTGATATCAAATTACTAGGCCTTTCCAAAACAACCTTCCTTAATTTTTTTCCAGTGTGTTTCATATAAGGTTTTCCTTCTTTATTAAAGAAAGTGGTATACTAGAACGGTAGTTCTCAACCTTTTTTGTACCAGGACCCATTTGTAAACATTGACTGCCAGTCCCAACCTAGTGCCCTGTGCTCCCAGCCCTACAGTGTGTTAGGCATGGGGGCCCCAAGCAGCCCCCTGCAGACTGGAACTCTGCCAGCCTACAAGGGAAAAGCCACAGTTTCCCATGTTTTTCTCCTTTAAAGGAGAATCCATTTTTAAAGTTTGTCTGCAATCCTTTCATATATTCTTGCAACCCAGAGTTTTGGGTCATGACCCACAGGTTGAGAAACTGTAGTAGATAGATTGGACAAGTATGTGCACTCTCTCTCTGCTGTACTGCATGTACAGCATTCTAGTATTTTATCTCCATCAGTAGCCTAACATATTCCTCATGCGTAAGAGTTATAACCCCCCCTGCCTTTTTCTTTTTTTTAACAAAATGAAAATCTCATTGCCACTAATGGTTAGTTTCCTGGAATCACATATCTTGGATATTTTGATGCCATGTCATTTTAACACTAAAAGCAGGTTTAATACTTACATACTCTTGAGCCACCTTTTAAAAATCAAAAAGTGGGACCCTGACTTTGCAAAGTAAGCCTGAGGTATGCAATGGAAGTGGCAGCAAAGGGCTGGCACAACAAAGATATTATAGAAGCATATGTAAATTTTATTTTACAAACACCTTAATTTTTGTGGCAAAAGTTTACTGCTGCACACCTACAATGCACTGTGTCCAAGTTCAGGCCTGGTCACTATACCAGTTCTATACCCTTCCTGGATTTACTCTACAATGATAGCTCTAATTCTGCTCCATCAGAACTATGAACTCAGTTTATCTGACTTGGGTGGCAGAATGCTATTTATCTAGCTGGATCAACTGCAGTAGTAAGTTGGGTCTATTCAGTTCTTGCATACCAGATAGCCTTCATACTAGTCTCGATGGGGTCAATTTGTCACCATTATTAATACAGTTCTGATCCTGTAACTTCCCACTCTTAGTCAGTCAGTGCCATGGTGCTTCTATGACAACTTCTGTGCTTTAACATTTTTACTTGTTACTACTAGCAAATTACTTGTCAGCAGTATAACTTGGGCTATCACTGACCTTCTGCTCTGCCACATTTTAAACATATTTATCAAGGAACTCATCCTAGGTATTAAGAGTGTTACTTGATATAAGGAAGGTGAGAATGAAACACAGCTCCTTTGCTCTATATATCTTTGTAGTAGCTTTATTCATTTCAAAAACCAACATTTTTTTTCTGATTCATAAGAAAAGTGCTGAGGAGGAGACACTTGTATTCTACAGTTAAATAACCTTTGTATCTATTAAAGATTATTGCAAGACTACACAGATTTCTAGCTTAGTAGACATATGCTTAAATCAGTAAACTTCACTTCTGTTACCACGGTAATAAAGTACTGTTACCCCTCCACTGGCTATATTGTTTGATACACATCAGTATAAACTCCTTTTTTAAGGATATGACAGCCAAATCCTTCAGCAAAAAAAAAAAAAAA